TAATAGTTTCCTATAGTGTAGAAGCTCCTAAATGAAACCCCATTCTAATATGTTTCAGAGACTACTAAATGCACTGAAGTAGATCATGATGTATATATTAAGCTTCTCACATCCCACATACTTGCAGGTTCATCCATAAAACTAAGGACATGATTTTAGTGGTTGTTAACATATTGTGATCTTTTTTAGAACTAGTTCTACCCTTTTGTTATGAGATTTTTACTCTTGTTGCTTATCTTCTTCCCTGCAAAAGATAAACAGAACACATGCTTTTAGTTTCACTATTTAATATTTTTCTTAAAGAGGTAAGATCGTGTTTGTCTTTCTTAATCTATGCATAAACAATATCAAATGATTCTAACATTATGATAAATAACTGTTTGAGATACTCTGGAGGGACTCGAGATTTTTCATTCTTAGAGGCACTGAAGAGCCTGGACACCTGGCCCTAGGTGAGCCTGCTTGAGCAGCAGGTTTGGAACAGCTGACTTCCAGTCATCGCTTCCAACCTCAGCCACTCTGTGATTCTGTAATTCATTATGGTTTCAAGCAATATTTCCTACTAGACTGCACATTGTTTCCTTATTTACTGATTATTTATTAATTAATACCCTTTGAAATTAAGAAATGAAAGAATACTGTTTTTCCGTTGGTTATCACTGTTTCTGGGATTCCCTCCAACTAACTGATTTGGATACATTATCAAATACTTTTGGTTAATGTTAACTTACTACCATTTTCTGACGTTAAAATGTCTGTTTTGTAGTATACACCTGGTCTGAATAAGGATTCAAATGTTACTAACAAAACGTTGGTTATCTTCATTAAAAGGTTACATGTAATTATGAAAAAGTACCTATCTCACAGCAGAAGACATTGTGTCATCAAATGCTGTTACCATCTGTAAACTGAAATCTTCAATATGCATACATTTTCAATACGCACTTTAATCTTTAAATGTTTGTATAAAAGATGCAAAGTTGTTCACAGACATCTAATTGCACCAAGCTCTCACTAATTTAGTCCTCATTTTTTCCCCACTCAAAACACTCATAATTCACTGGTTTCCATCTCTTGTTATCTATTTTTGCATCCTCAGAAAATGGAGGGTGAAGACAGGCATATTCATTAGCAAGATGCTTAGCTATATGGGAGATTTTAACTCTCTTTGAAGGCCAGAAGTTGAAATACAAGAGCATACATAGAACTTTTATTCCTTATGATCAGCAGAGGAAGAAAGATGACAGCAGTAAAGGTAAGAGACCTTGTAAAAAAAAAAAATCAGACATGCACAGGGGAAATGCAGTACATTCCTATATGTTGCTTCATAAACCAAAATCTCCCCTAAATCCAGTTCCAAATCGACTTCAATGACATATAGTTGACTGGAGAAGCAAACAAAACCCAGCTTTCACAAGTGGGTAGGGCTCTGAAAAATGGTATACTTAAATCATGAAGTTCCATCATGGTTAGACCATAATTACAACAATAATCTTCTTCAGATTCTCAAACATTTAAGATGCTTTTAACTCTGAGTGTGAAGTCACTGTTGGTTTCTCAGATCTACTACAGCACAGAATTACTCACATATTTTCTTGATGGGGCTTGGGAGAAGGGGTCCAAATATAAGCAAGTTCAATTTTAATCACTAGGACTGAATACACAAGAGCTCAGACATCTAAGTGCCTGAGTCTCACCTTCCAACACTTACAGGCAGTTCTAATTTTGTGTGAAATGCACAAGTTGGTTTCAAAGCAGGTACCTAGACTGCGTAGTAAATGAACCAACTAGAGTTTAACTCACAGGCTGTGTCAGCTGCATAGCAGGCAACAAAGTCATGGAAACTCACTACGAGATCCAAAGCTTATCTTTAAAAATGTAAACAAATTCTGGGACGTGATGAAAAATTCACTTAACTTCAAACATCTCATTTTATGTGTCATGTTTCCCTGTCAAAATACTGAAGAATGAAATGAGAGGGTGCAGTACAAAGCCGCTGATAGTACGTTGTGATCATTTGCATACTCAGCTATCTGTTGCGCACAGTGCCTGTCCCATACTGCTTCCAAACAAGATTAGTATCAAATGCAGCATTAGACTCATAACATGCTTGCAGAATCAAAAGCACTGACTAGCCTTCCCAAAACAAGCATCAGCCCTGGAGAAGGTAGATATGGGACCTTGTGATGGCTTTCATAAAATTCATCACATGGGATGTTTGTCTGGGGACAGCACAGAATAAGTTTCATGCGTCTTATACTTCTAAAGTCCTAGACATGCCTGTTCATTGAAACCCCCTAAGAAATTTCAATGTGCAATCTGCATTCTGTATTTGGGAGAACAATAACAACACATTTATTTCCAAAATTGTATATCTTCTATTTTTACAGATTTCACATTTCCATTTTGATTTTTTTATCATGCTGACATGAAAGAAATCACAGAAAAGAAATTTTATTTCCTGGAATGAACTTAAAATCAGCAATACGAAACCTAGAAACAAGGACATATATCTTAGAATTAATCTAATGCAAGTGTTTAAATGATACAAACAAAAAGGTTAAAGCACAGAGTAACTAACAACTATCAAAGAACAAAAGAAGTCACAAGAAAAGATACTATAAATACACTAGGAAAAGAGGACAAAGTAAAATGCAGAACTATTACATCAAAGAGAAGGAAAGCAAATAAGAGATGACACAAAGAATTCCCAGTGTTCAATACTTTCACTGCTTCAGTCTAACAAAATATTAACTGTGGCCAGATGCTTAACACCAGTGATTTTAAGAGGAAAATCTGCAAGCCAGACTAGTGAAAGCTGAAAGACATTCTGATGACTTAGATACATTCAGGTTGGCAGAATCTTGTGAAATTCACTCTAGAGCACTTAACCAACTGAAGAAGCCTCTCATCCATTAGCAACAGTCTTTCAGGAATAGAGAGGACAGAAAAGGGTAAATATCATATCTTTCTTGAAAAAAGAAAAAAGGAAGATGTGGGAAAGCCTAAATCAGACTAAAATAGCAAAAATCTTGGAGAAAACTGTTAAATAAACAATGTATCAACATCTAATGGAATAGAAGGGCGATAAGAATGAGCCAACATGAATTTATCAAGAATGAAATGCGTCACATCAGTCTAATTGCATTCTCAACTAGGAAACTTGCCTAGTGGACAAGAGGAGGAAGCAGATGCAAAATACTTCAGCTATGTGACTTTGTTTACTGTCCTGAATGATACTCTAGTTAAAAAAAAAACCTAGAAAACTACATTCTGGGTGAAATCACTGCAAGGCAGACAAACATCTGGTGGGAAAAAATGCACTTACTGAGTAGCTTTCAAGATCTGGTTGTCAGATTTGAAATGGGATCATGAAGAGGTCTGACAATATTTCCATTAATGATCTGGATGAAGAAATAGAGAGCACATTCATAAAAGTGAACTTATTATCAGGCTGCAAGTGATTTATAGCACTCTGGGGGCTGGGATTCAAATTCCATACTATCTTGATAAACCCTCAGAAAACATCAAGTACTAGCAAGAAACAGTGAAGAATATTTCATTTGTGAAATAACACTGAAAATTGGACTGTAACAACGCTGACCAAGTACATTGACCTGGTTCAAGCGTAAGACCTAGAAAAGTTGAAGTGTTTTCCACTCTGGTCAGAAAACTCTGTGGCAAAGAGAGATACAGAATGCTGCAAACTGTATTTTAGGGATAAGGAAGCTAGAGGTCAGTGGAATCTACACAATATTCAGTAGGAAAGACAAAGATTGAAGAGCTGATTTAGCCATTAATTACTGAACTCTCATATCTGATTGGTTTGTATCTCCTGACAGTGAATAAAATAATCCTTTCTGAAATTGAAAATAATTGTTTCTGTATCTGTGTTAAGCTTGGTTACAAGTCTCTAAAGAAAAAAGGCTTGAAAAGTACACTCACACCCATCACAGTAACACGGTCAGGCAATAGTGAGGCTACAAATCTAAGATCCTGACTGGAATTGGTTTAGCTCCTCGCAAGCAGATAGACTGATTTACTAGAAGTGTATTTGAAAAAAGCCCTATAACTATACTACTACCATTAATATAAATATGAAAATTCTTGTGATCGACCTAAAACATTTGGGAGAGAGGGAATTTGGGCAAACCAGTTTGGATATTTGGCACAATTTTGAAAAATGCTAGCTCTCAAAATTCTCCTCAAAACAGATCTTCCATTTTTCATTCAGCTCTGTCTCTGATCTCACCATCTGCAAATTCTCCAGCGAATGAAGAATTGCCATGGATAAAATTTAATGAGATGAAAAAAAATATTTCTCTTTCAAGTATCTCCCAAATCACACCATTCCTAGTTTTTATGCACCACGGCAAGGAGTACTTTCCATACTTTAATAACTGTTAGTAATATTTGCTCCCCCAAATGTATTTCAGAATTTTCTTCTACAGTAAAGAGAGAAAAAAAAAAGTGTGTAAGGGATAATATGTGGCTTTTATTATGAAATAATTGGATTTCATGTTTCTGAGTATTTATTTGAGATGCTTTAAAATATTTTAATTGCTTTGAAAACTGGAAGAAACTGACTGGAGTCAAGGATGAAAGATAGCTAATTGTTTTTCAATGATAGGTCTGAACTCCATCAATGAGGTCAAAGTTTTACAAAGGTTAATCTAATATAACTGCTACCACACAAAGAAGAGGTCTCCCTGCTGCATGTTCCCACCATTTCCATTAAACCAGCCTCTTCTGTTGATCTCTTTATGAGCTAATTCAGCTTACCTAACCAGCAGAAAACTAAAATAAAGGAGTGCAGTTTCAGTTTCCAGGAGGGCTACTGAATTATCTCAGACATTCTGTAAACCTTATCAACAGGAATGTAACTGCTGATGTCAATGAACCTGGTCTTCACTGAACAGAAGACACCTTCCTGGTATATACCTCCAAATGATAATTCAGGCTGCATGGTTACATCAAAAAACTAAAATCAGTGAACTTACTGCGAGACAGATTCTCAAGGGCTTTTCCAAGTTTTTTGCTCTCTTGAAGAATATGATTTAGTTCATCAAAATCATGGTTCTCCGGTTTTGTCTTCCAATCCCATTTAGGATGCTCTATTGACCTTGGCACTAAATATACACAGATATATAGATGAAGTTTAGATTTGGTAGTTCAGACTCCTACAGTAGAAAAAAAGCTGCACAATGAGTTTACAAACTCAAGTACCTTGAGTGGAAATTAATTATCTTCTATTTTAACAGTTGGAAATATTTTCTTTGGTCAATGTAAAGTGAAAATGAAAACATCTATGAACAAATGCATTCTTGGGATGATTCTTGGCATTGAATTAATTGGTAAACAGGAATAATTAATAACAATAACAAAAATAATAAAATTAATGCAATAAAAATGTATTTAAACTATTGCATGTGAATGTACTTCATTTACAATAAAATCGAACTGTGTGGCCTAGGGGTCAATAAGGAAGAATGTCAAAACAAAAATGAGTTATTGGTACTTTTGGCTTTGCTAGGTATTTTATCAGTCAGAAAAAAAGAAATATTTTAGATACAGCTTTTAAAACAACATACTTTTTTTTTATTCCAAAAATCATGAAGTGTAGATAACAGTTAATTAAAAACAGTGAAACAAAATATGTCCTTATCATTCATGCTGTACAGACTGTAATCTTTATTTCTCTACTTAAACAAACTCAATCCTTGGGTAGCACAGTCCTGAGCTTACAGTCAGCTGCTCATTATCTATTACCAAGGCTTTTGATTTAATTTTGAAATAACAGTTTCTCAACTGCTGAGCTAATTTTACCTACAACAAAGAGAAGGATTGTCTGAGATATGTAGGACGCACAATGAACAGAGCTGCATTGAACATTGTGTACATTTTGAACAATTTGTAGAAATAAAAACAAAAACTATGCTGTTTCTGGAACTGCAGTTTAACATGTTCTTTTTGCCAGTGTTCAGAAGTAAGCAATCTGCTGCCTTTGCCACCAAATGCAACTGTTGGATGGTCTCCATACACAGCAGTCCCATGCTGAGAACTGCACATGCTGGTGTGAAGATGATGATGCCTAGTCCACCTTCCCGCTAGAAAGGACCAGTTGCATTTATCAGTAGTTGCTAACTACTCACTTAAAAATAACTTCAAAGAAAAGCCTATAATGTCCAATACATCCTGGACAGCTTTGAAATTTTTGTTTACTATTTTGACAGCTGTCAACTAATTTATGCTTACAAACTTAATTTTCATTACATGCTAAGAAGGAAACTTACTAAGAAGGACTCCTACAGATGGTGCAAAAAAAAGGTGATATGATAATTAGGAATTTCAGAGTGCTTTTATGATGGTATGGGGAAATTATCCTCAGACATCACTGCTAGCTATTACAAAATGTGTTAAAAAATCGCTAATGAAATTTGCCTTATTGTTGACTTTCCTCTGTGTGAATACAGACTCTTCTCTACTTTGAATCAACTCCAATAGGGAAAGTAGAAGTTAAACCAATAGTCATATTTTCCTGCTAAAGAAATAGGACAATGTTATGTTAAAGTCCTTCTTTCAGAATAAACATGATTCCATATAAACCAAGTCATCTTCAAACCAGACATCTATGAGAGCCTGAAAACCACAGTACATCCTGATCTCTAACACCCATTCAGGAACCTGGGTAACTATTAGTTAATATATTAGACTGCAATTACAGACATTCTCAAAGACAGAAGACACAGCAGACATTAAAAAAGACCTACAGTGATAAGAGTAAGAGGAAAGGGACACACGAACTCTCAATAAGGAGGAGGGAAGAGAAGGGCAAGTTATCGTGTCGGAGTCTGATTCTGCTCTGTGTTCAAAAAAGACAAGTAATATAACTCCTTTTGAGGACAATGGAAATAATGAGGCATAGTGGCTTCTTGTGAATAGATACAGGTATTAGAGTAGGAATAGCCTCTAGTCAGATGGGTAGCTTGAAATTTTTGTTGATACTTATAAATGCCAACTACTACTCCTCCTCCTACTACTACTACTTTATCATTCTCTGGTTTAGGAACTGCTCTGTCAATTAAAAGTTGTGTAAATTTTTGTGTGAAAAAATTTACTCCATTCACAGATCCTAGCATATATAAATTAAACAGCACAACTTCAGTATTTCTCATCCTTTTTCTTATTTACAAAATGTTCCACTTAGTATTTTTTTTAAACTTTTTCTAATTTAGTAAACTAGAAAAGGAATTCTATAAATTCTCTCTATTTTCACTCACCTTTGTTTTATATTGAGGTCATATGCTCCTTTAATGCCTGCTTTTTCAGTCATCGTACCATCTCCCTTCAGTGTGCCAAAACTATATTCTACATAATCACTCGCAGTATGACAGACTTTTCTTTCCATGTTTATACTGAACTCACTACAGCATAAAAATCTCACAGTACCACCAAAATACAAACAGGTAACAATTTAATATAGTAAAACCATGTACAAAGATAACCAAACCTAAGAGCATTGCAGAAAATTTCCACAAGCTAGAATTTGATATCATGTCAGTTTGAAACAAAACACATTTTTCAAAATACAAAAGGACAGAATTTTTGAGAAACCACATGATCTTAAAGCAAAATTTGTCATGGCACAGAAGCTGGATGAAACAAACAAATAAGGACATAAGTTCTACTCTACAGCTGTGGAGTTGCAGCATCAGCAACTACCAAGTATATGGACCAATTCACACCAGGAAAATGAGAGTATCAAGACTCTATCCTTGAAAGGCACAGACACTTGCTCAAGACACAGTGATTTGGTCCCTAGTTTCAGAGAAATGTCCTACAATCACAGGATGGATGGTAGGAAATCAGTCAAAATCATGGTGGAAATTTGCTTTGCATGGTGGTTTATTATCTATCAGTTGTGTTTCAGTGAATCATTTTACACTTCAGTGAAAATGTACCAAAACAGATACACTGTCATGAAATATTTCTAAGTTTCAATAGAATTTATTTCAACAATGAGTTTAGCTCATTCTATAACTGAACTAGAACTGAGGGAAAAGTTAAACAGAATTAGAACTGACTGAAATTTTTATTACTTCTAGAGACAACACAGGTCTTCTTACTTACCTACTCTTCCAAATAATGAATGGATACTAAAAATTATTTAATTATATCATGTGGCACGTGTTTGTCCTTTCAAGTTCATTTTCTGCTTGCTTACAGATGTTTTTGAAGTATAAACTTGTATCTTCTCAACTGTAGGATCAACAAGCACTGGTCATTTTCAACTGGATGGCTTTGTGTGAAGCATGCAGAACTGTAAAAAGCCCATACGACCCTTCTTTCAAATCTTTTCAAATACATGATCCTCCTTGGTATGTACAAAGCCCGTCATAAATCATTTACGTACATATGTCACTACACACTTAGTAAAATCCTTTCATTATATTCTGACCTTCATTTTTTTTATTATATTCACCCATTCCTCAAAGTTGTCACATCAGTAATTTTAAATCCCTCATTACAGTACCCACCTCAACCTCATCTCTGTTATTTGAGAGATTTATATATTATAGAACACTTTCTCGTGAAATTATTTGCCTACAATTCAGAAAATTTATTACACCTACATTGTAGCCCTTTGTACAGAAATATGTAAGGTTTCCCTTTGTGGAGCTGAGATTTCCCCATCTCATCTTAGGAGACTGGAAAGACACACTTGCCAGTATTTCTGATTTTCTGCTAGTGTGCCCTGCCAACAAATGCACATCAGATTCATTTGCAGGAGTGTTGTGAATTCTGTCACAAATCAGTACACTTTTATTTTACACTGGATGATAGTACAAGATCAGTACTGGTTTTATCTACACATATGTGTCTTTTCAAGACATGATTTGCAGACAGAATCAGATTAGTTGCTCATTAAATCCTACATATCATTAATACATTATATGATCACCTTACAGCTCAAAGAACAAAACTATGTATATTATTATTGAGCATAAAATTATTCATGTATTTAAATCTCATAATAGCATTCAGATAAGAGTTCTTTGATAATATAGCCAAACTGGTTTTCACAGTATCTGGATGTTAAGAGGCTAAGAGAATGATGGCCTACATTTCCAGACTGACCAAGAGCAACTAGAAGTACACAACACTGCAAACACAAATGGGATGTGGTGAGAATGCTGAACTGAAGCAGAGTGAATGATCTCTGATCTGATTTAATATGGAGGTGGTGAAGAGACCAACTTACTTTGCCTAAAAGTGTCTAACTGGGAAGTAAGAAGTCTGTTCTACAAACTATTTTGAAACTTCTGAATTTGTTCTTCAAATACAGAATGTGATTATCTAAACATTTCATTAAGGATATTTATACACACACACACAGAGCCATAGCTCCAAGCTTCTTCCTTGCCAGACAACAGCAACAGCTTTTCTTTAATTCTGGTTTTGCACACACACCAAGTAAGTGGTCAGACCTCTCAGATATCAAGATTTCTTGTTTGTGTGTCTCAGGTAGATATCAAGGTTTCTTATTTGTGTGTTTCAGGTGCAGCTGAGATCATAATAGGCAGGAGGAGGGACTGGGGGAATCTTTTCAGTAAAAAAGTTGAATGAATAAGGAAGTGATATTTCTGCAGGAATAACACGAATGCTGCAGTCAACATCACTGTTGAAGGAAAAAAAAAGATTTCCTAATTAAATAAATCAAATATCTGGATGTTTCCAAAGATTCCTATGAAATTACAGTTCTTAGTTCTGAATAAACTTACAAGTTCAGGACCATTTGAACAAGACAGTCATAAGACAAAAACTTTGCAGCAGACATAATACAGCTGATGGACTCCATTAAATTTTGGGCTTGTTTTGGGAGGGTCTTTTTAGGTTCTTGGGAGTGGGGGTTTGTTATTTTTTAACACAAATCTGAGAGCAAATCTTCAGGTCTCAGCAGACAGAAAACATTATGTTTCTCAGACAAGTCCCTACTAGCTCTTTGGAGAGGCTTTGTTAAAAAATGTACAATGACACACAAAAATGTTTTGAGGTACAAGCAGAAGACACAAAACAAATGGAATATGCTATGCACATTTGGATAGAGCGATAAATGGCTTCTAAACATGTTTGCTTTCTGCTGATCTGCGTAATTGAAGTGGCACACAGTACCCACTGATTTTGCCATAAACCCAGAAAAAAAGGTCAAAAGAACATCAGTATTAATCTAGTTGGCAGAAAATAAGCAGCAGATATGGCAAAAAGGCACATGGTTGAAACCAGCCTCTGTGATGGCAACTAAAATACCATCCTCCAGTAGAGTAGTGGATGGTGACAATGAAATCTCCCCTCAGCTTTTATTTCTTCCATTTCAAAAGTGAAAAACAAACACTGCTGGCTATACTCTTGCTACTGTAGCCTTGTATGCAGCTCACCTTCAGCGCTGCATGAGCACACAGCCACAGGCTGGTTCGTATTCAAGTTCTTGCCCACCAGCACACCACATCTTTTTCTGCAAAGGTACTTTCTAGTCATTCATTTCCCATTTTTTACTGTTGCTCAGGGTTACTTCATCCAAGATGAAGTAATCTGAATTTTGAATTTGCCTGTGTTGAACTTCATGAGGTTCCTCTCAGCCCATTCCTCAGTCCTGTAAGTGAATAGCAGCCCTGCTACCCAGAATATCAACCACTTCCCACAATTTGGACTCACCTGCAAACCTAAAGAACATTCTACCTCATCATCCAGGACATTAAGAAATTCTTTTAAATGAAATTAGTCTCAGTACCAGTCCCTCAAACACGCCAGTAATGATAGATTTTCCAAATGGAATTTGCATTGCCAGTCACAGTTCCTTGAAGCCAACAGCTTGCGTCAACTTTCCACACATCTTGTTGTCCACTTATCCAGTCCATATCTTACCAATTAAGTTTTAAGGATAAAAAACTTAAAGGTTTTGCTATAAAGTCAAGGTATTAAGCATCCACTGCTCTTTCTTTGGTTACAGGGCCAGTTTTTTCACCAAAGAGGGCAACCACTTTGATCTGTTCAGACATTTATGATCTCATAAATCCATGCTTGCTGTTTCCAATCACATTTTCCTCCTTCTTGTGGTTAGGAACACCTTCCAGATAAATTTGCTCAATAACCTTCCCAGAGAACGAGGTTAGGCTGACCAGCTTATAGTCTCCAACATTTCCTTCTTGCCCTTCCTCAAAATCCATGTGATATTTGCATTTTTCTAGTTATCAGGAACCTCCCACAATCATTATGACATTTCACTGATGACCGAAAGGCCTTGCAATGACATTAGTCTCCTCTTTCAGCACGCTCGGAATTTATCCTATGCAGTGCCATGTATTTATGTATGCCCAGTTGCATTAAGCACACCCTAATTATACTCCCATTACAGGTAAAGCTACACTCCTACACACTGCTTCTAGACTTAGGGCTCGGGTAGCTTGAGAGCAAACCTGACCAACTGAAGAACATTTTAAAGTGTCCATCAGTTCAAAGGGACAGATCCTTGAGCCCAGTCTTATTAAGAATGTATAAAATATTTCCTTTTTTGACATGAGACCTGGTAGTTTAGAATGTCCAGCTTCCTCTTTGTCCCTCTCCTGGGTCAGCCTAAGGACTCAATAAGCACGAAACTTATAGTAGGCACACAAATAAAGGGAAAGACATGATGTCATACCCCTATCTGGGATAAAGACTGAGAACTTCAGATCTTTAGGACAGGGTATGAATCTGAAGACCAAGCACAGGGAGGAAGGAAAGGAATGCAGTATGATGACAGGAACAACTCACAATACCTTTGGTCACTGTTTCTAACAGCGGATCTCCATAAACTGCTGGTATCCAGCAAATATGTTAGATTAGACACAGATTATGAATGACTATGAGCATTTATTTGAATATCTCTATTTACTCTTGAAAGTTAATTAAAATTCATGTGCTTCTTTTGAACTGACTCAAAAATTCATATGCCCATTGAGAGGTACAGTGGCATTAATGACGAAATTTGAGCCTTTTTGAAGCAGGGGATGTATTTCTTGAAGAAGAAACAAAGACAAATGCTCCATTTCCAGAAAATATAATACTGAGAAAAGCTATACTATGGGACACAGCTACCTGTAACAGGCATTTTCACTTGTTAGTTATTTATTCTCAATCAAAAAGGTTTCATACCCAAAAGCACAATATCTCTATTGCATAAATTTATAATGATTTACTTTACCCACTGTTGTGCTGTATTTTGACTTAACGAGGACACTGGGCGATTTTCCTTAGACTCCACTGAAGTCTAGATTTCCCCATCTTGCTTTTAGAGGAAAGAAAGCAAGCTTTCTAGTGCCATATACTATGTATCTGTTCACATCTGGTCCACCTAATCACACTCACAGTTATTAAAAAGATTTGGCTATTACAAAAATTCAAAAAGCTATAGTCAACAGAAGAAAACCTTTTGCAACTTATTTTGGAGAACAAATCTTGTACACACAATTCGGTATGTATGTAACTATATTTATGTACATATGCATATTGTAGATATATTTATTTGTGAAAAAAATGAACATTAAGAATCAAGCTTAAAAATTAAATTTCTTCAATAGTTAGTACACAGGAAGCATTATATTTTGTTAAGGCTTGTTGCCTCTATTTTTACTACTTCTATTTTACAGGTGATTGACAATATTCTCTTCAGCTACCCTATTTGTAATCTGCCTTTTCTTTCAGTGTACATTTAGATTCCTCCAGCAACTCTCAGAGCAGTACATCTGAGAACCTTGAACAGTACTCCTATACCTTGAAGAGTAGCTGTTCATAATTCATAGTTTTGCATTGCCTGACCCCCTGAAAAAAATCTGTTATTAGGACCGATATTAATAGAACAGATTTTACACATGCAAAATTGCATTGCAAATGAAAACATCAAATCATAACTAGTACCCAAATATAAAATTGTGCATGACATCCAGAGATTAGTCTATTTTTTAAACCATCTATGTAGAATTCTATTGTATCTATAGATGACAACATAGGATATTTTAAAATATCCAGAATTCAAGTAAGAGTAAGGCAAGAATCAAACTCTTCTAACACATATACAGTCATCTCAGCTGTTCATAGTTTGCTTTCCATTTTAATCCTAATTCAACAGAAAAACATACTACAGTTTTGAAAGTATGCACAAATTATTAATGTAGTGAAGCTTTCTTACATGACTTGGACTCCGGTGATGGTGGAGAAATGTTGGACACAGCAAGGTCACTCTTCGACTTTTTGGGCTTTTTTGCATTTACCTGCCAAGGCTTATCATAACTTCTAAAATCTCTTCTTGTTCCTTTATTTTCTGTTAAAATAATCAAATCAGATAGTTGTTAAATTTGTAGGGTCATTTTCCCAAGACTTAATAAACAATCAATCCAAAAAAAACAAGGCCTATCAGTTGAAACCAAAGACAGTTCTTTTTCTTCTTCTTTTTCTGATTTCTGTTAAATTGAATATATTTATTCCATTTCCTAAATATCGAAATTTAGAAATTAATTAATAGGTTTTTTATGAAAAAGAAGTCTATTTTTTGTTATGAAGTAGTCCTTAATGTCCATTTATTTTCTTAAGTTTTACCACCTATGCTTAAAATCGTATATTTGATATAAATAAAAAGCTGATTTGTCAGTCAACTAACATTTTGACTATCAGCCAGCAACTATTTAAGCTCTACTATCGTCTGAAACAGTCAATTTTTAAACACAAAACTAACATTGTAATAGTAGCTTTTACCAGAATATCAAAGCTAAGATTTCTACTTTACAATCAAAGCAGATATTATTTCAGAATATTTTTTAAATGCTTCTGAAGATCTGCAATCCAAAATTACACTGGAATTCATAAAGTAGCATAGCATCTTCTCATTAAGGGTTGGAATGATAGGTCGTTAAAAATATGTATTACTAAAGAAAATGCCCCAATAAAGGTTAATCTCTGGCACAAAGACACCATAGGAGGGAAAAGGAAAACAAAGAAAAGAGAAAGTGAAAGCAAAGAGGACAGAAAAAAAACCAAGGAATTTTTATATGGACATGCTTCCTCATTGAGAACTGGACTGTTTCCACTCTGTAACTATGACCCATACTCACATCATATGTACACAGGCTGAGGTGATAGCCAGTAATGTGTATTAAATTCAGTATCTACTGGACAAACCGGATTTATTCTGCATGTTCAAAACCATAGAGTAGCACATGTTCAGTAGGTATATGTTCACCCAGGAAATCATGGACAAAAATGTGGGAAAATTATACAGGAGACTAGCTCCTTCCAGCACACAGAACATACCTGATGTTTCACTCTCTGCCCAAAGGGCAGCAGAGCCAGACAACGTTCTCTGAAGCTGATGGCGGTTCCCCTGTTTGGACTGAAGATGATCAATTAGAAATGGGATTGGCTGGTCAGGTGTCTCTGTTATCAGTTTGGTCATCAACTCCTTTAGAAAATTAAAAGAAAACAAAAAATTAGTGATATATTGCACCTAAACTAATCTTGTATTTACCAAAAGTAAAGGAAAACTGTTTTCAACTTTGAAGAAAACAGCAAGAAACATCCACCTCCTCAAACTACTGCTAGCTTTGTCCTATGAAAGACTCATGTCAGAAGTGTTATTAGCCTATACGGTCTCTTATCCACTGGGATTTTGGTAAAAAAAATCTAGTCCCTGCTATCTGCTCAAATTTACCCCAAACAATCTGAATACTGTTCATTTAACCATGTACAACAAGCACCTCTTCAGAGCAGCAAGTAGCTCTTGCCTGACCCATACATTCAAGTTTCTTCTCCTTGGAAATTGGTGTATCAGGGAGGTTCATGTATTTTTCATTTCACACAGACATGAAACAATTACCTGGTTAGAATATGGATTCATATCTGGGAACTCCAAGGTCTGATCAAATAGGCAAATATTTTTTAAAGCGAGTCCTCAAAAGTACAATTGTATAGACACAAGCAAATATTTTATTTCACTGTTGCAGACATAGATACAAAACCAGTGTCAACAGGAAAGCATTTTCTATGCCATGCACTGATACTACCCAACTGCTGTTTTACACCTTGGCCTTGCACAGCTGCAGAAAGAGAAGCACTCTCCATACTGCTGCTGGGGTTCTTCCTGGCTTCCTACACATAAAACACGTTAGGAGTCCAGAAAGAGGTTGTGGCTCTGTGCTGCACATGTGCTCTGAGAGGAAATTAATTATTCATGTGGCAGGTGAGGCGACCCCAAAACCCACATAGTTCTACAGGAAATTTGTGACTGTCACTGAAAAACAAAAAAGCTGCACAGAAGTAAAAAATTACAGGAACGTACCACAAAATCAGAAAGAAAACAAAACCAAACAAACACACAAACCAACAACAACAAAAAAACCTAGCTAAGTTATTCAGAGCATTTATTCTCTTCACCTACCCCCAAGCATAAATCTTACCATAACTACACACACTTAAGTCTATCCTCACTTCATCTTTTCCACACATTTTAATTTAATAAATAATTTTTCAAATACCAGCAGTTACTTAGTATTACCATCAGTTAAGCGTGTTGGGAAAAGATACTTCAAAAGAAGTATTCCAAATAGCAGTAAACATGAATAACAGCAGGCAGAATTACTAAGGCACAGCAAGTTATCTTTGTCCACGCCAAGACTTTCCATTCTTTTTATACAAGTAGTGGCATAAACAATTACATATAAGTGAAAACAAAGCAAAAACAAGCTTTCAATTTCAGAAAGAGAAATTTAATTTCAGAAAACAAAAAGGAGAAAATATGCCCAGTCTCATGTCTTGTGAAGGTGTTATCTTCTGTGATGTGATTTTTGATATCTATCTACAGGGAACAAAAAACCCCCAGGTGTCTTTGGTTTCAAAATGGAACTCCACGGGGAGAAATTAAGCTACTTACTAATCTTAGAATTTTTAAAGCTCTGGAGAGTAACTTCATCTAGACTGTCTCTTACCAAGGTAGGAGAAACCCTCTCACATACATCATACAAGAAAAATCCAGAAATCAGAGTAATTCATATTTTGGTTGCTTGGCAACACTAACAGCAACCCTTTCTTTCTTTCCCTGCCAAACAGAACTAGTGACTATGGAAAGAACTAGAGACAATGGAAAGATGTAATCTAGTCCTTGTAATGGACCACCATAGCTGCAGGAATTCCACTGAGGATCCTATTACCAATGGAAAAGTGCCAATCTGTAATAGCTGACTTGTAATTTAAATAATTTCTCAGAACCATGGTTTGAAAATTATTTTTCTATCTTAGATTAATAAAAACAAGATTATGAGAACTGAGATACATGCACTGATTCAATTAAATTTTTAAAGACATGCAGGGGTGACAAGTTACAAATAATACATTACAAAACTAATGTAGCACTAAAAAAGTTAGTACACAAAAATAAACATTTTGGAATGCCTACATGTCAATGTAAGATAAAGGCTATTTGGTTGTTGTCTTTGTATCTGACTTGGTTGTAACAGGAAGGAATGGTCTTTAACTAACAGAAAGAGATCTAATAAATTAGAACTGCTTACAGAATTCTTTACCTCATTCTGAGACCTAGTAATAAAAATAAAGAACATAATTGTACAAAGTAGCAAAAAAAAGTTCTATTTGACGTGATGTGAAATTGGATCCTATACAAAAGGACCACTTTTTTTATCTACTGTAAACATATTGATAAGACCTGAGTGATATAACGATCTGCACTGTCCCAGAGAATAAACAGTCCTTTTCTGTGATAGCAGTTAGAAAAGTTTAAAGAACTGTAGATATAGGCTACTTTTACCTATCTGGAGTAACAAATGTGTTGTATCAACCCTTTACATCTAAAGTGAAAAAAAAAAAAAAAAGGAAGTAACATTGTTGGAATCCTCATAAACTGAAAAGAGTATGCAGTTCAAAAAATACTACTTTTTCTGTGTAATAAGCCTCAAACTGATTTGCCTCAAGAACTTTCAGAGCTGTCATTAAAAGTAAATGCAACTTAAAATGAACCCAAATGTAACTCAGATTACAAAGCCTGCCATTAAAGAAAGACAAAGCTCTTTACTGTAAGTATTCCATTGCAAAAGGGGAGAAAAGAAGCTCTTAGGGATCTGCTTCTTGAGCTGCTCCAAGCAAGGTTTGAAAGTGGTCTCCAACTTACCACTTTCCATGGAGTTCCTGAACTCTGGAGAACGTGCAAAGAACAAATAACAAAAGCAGTGAGGGTAGCATCAGAATAGCTGTGTAAATCCACTTTCACATACAGGAGGTGTCATCTCTCTTCCATATCCTTCTCCCACACACACAGTGAGAGATCCCAGAAGTAAGATCATAACTCCATGACCCTCACTACCACTCTTCTACCAATTCCTGACACCCAGTTCATCAAGGGACCTAACTCCATCTGCACAGCCCCCAACATGTGCTCTTTGAGTTCATGCTTCCTTTGAGACTTTTGTAATCCCCATCAAATTGGCGATTACATGGAAATATGTTATCTGACTGTTGCTTGGCTATGTAATGAGGAGGAGGGGTGGAAGGGGCAAGAGAAAGAAAAATAAAACCAAAACACACACACCAAAAAAAAAAAAAAAAAAAAGTTTCAGACAGGCAGTAACTGTACTTAGTGAGCACTCGGCTCATTTTCAAGTAAAAACATATACTTCAGTGAAGGTGAAAAGACATTACAGATTATAAATGCCTATTAAGGGGTATTCTCATTTTATCACCATTTACTAGTAAAACTAATTTAAACTTCTGATTAAATTACCCAAAGTTTATTTGATGATCTCATCTGTCATCATTGGATGACATCTTAATAGACAGCAGGAATAACATACTACATGGTACTCTAAATATACTCTTACACATTTGAAATGTTTCAAAAAAAGATGACAAAAGTGAATGTATTAAATAAGAAAAACTAAAGTGTACAAGGTACAAAAATAAAATTCCTTTTTGGTTAGCAGCAGTCTGATCTGACTCACAATGTGCTAAGTAGGCAAGGTTTCACAAGAAAAAGAAAAGGGAAAAGACCAACTATTCTCAGTGAAGACGCCTCTGCATTAAGAGCAGAATGAAAATGGCACAAGATCATTGAAACTGAGAATCATTTCTTGATGAAAAAATCATCAGATAAGTTTCAATTATGCATGAAAACAGAAATGCAAAACACTTATATATCTCTTAGAAATATTAATTATGTTTTTTGCATTTCTGGTTGAAATTTCTAAGTGTTCTAGAATTCAAGTAAGAAAACTATGTTCTTCTGTGCACAGTGTGCCTTATAACAATAAATAAAAAGCCAGGGCAGACTGAGTGTCCATGCTGCCAAATGAACTGTTCACTACCCATAATCTCTCTCCTCCTATCTTCTTTCCACTGCTATGTCTTCCTTTCACTCCATGTCCTTTTGTCTTTGCTATCAATAGGACTCCTCTCAGTCTCTTCCTTCCAACTGTGTAACAAGTGAGGAAGCCTGTTCAGATGTCAGTAATTATGAAATCCCCGTGCACCCACGAGACACATTGGAGCACAGAAAAGGAGTGAAAGGGAACTTCCATGGTTACTACAGACTAGGGTGAATACATTAGTTTCTGCTGCTTCCCCATTATATTGGTCCAAATTTGGTTCTGCCTTGACTGAGGGCAGAATGAGAAAGAATGGCAAGATGATGTAAGCTCTGTCAGTTAACTCCTTCAAGAATTTAACCTCGCATTGTGCAAATCATTTCTACTTTCTTCTGTAACTTCATATGTTCTTACATTAATTTTACTAAACTATGTTACATAGACTGTATTAAAAAAACCCCAAACAAAAACTTGTACAAGTCGACTTGTGGATGTTTCCAAGAGAGATTCATGAACACACATTGATGAGGCTGCAAAGGATCTTGGAAAAAAAAAAACAAACCAGGTCTAAAGTAGCAGCTTAATATATTAATTCTTTATAAAGAGAATAATCTTTTGTTATTGTACTGTCCTGAGGTCCTCTATTAGTTATTCAATGAAGGCTCAAATTTTAATTTCCTTGTGACTGTCCATGCATTTAATACAAATGAAACAGTCTTCACAGACTATTAATCATGGGCCCAATTACAAGAAAGTCCTAATTAGCTATGTCTAAACGTACCTATCAGGTTATTAAGTTAATTAAGAGACATTCTATCTTGCCCTGTAATTGGTAACGGTAACTACACAACAATGGCGCGTTTTAACTGCAGAGACTTCTACAGACTACAGTACAGCATGTACAGATTTTGGCTCTATTATGCTCTTTTGTCACGGTTTAGACACTTAAAGTAGATAGAGTGAATTGCCCTCAGAAGATGTCTGTCTCTCTCTCCCAACCAAACAGACTACGTGGCTGAGGTTTAGATGGTATACATTTCCAAATTAAGTCAATTAAATACAGCAAGTCTTCACAGTGATGTCAATGGTGATC